GCTTGGCTTCATGCTTGTCAGAGAAAAAAATCCCAAATGGCTTCTATGATCCCATCAATTATGGCAGTTTTAGAAGTTTCAAGAGCTTGATTTTGCTCTATAAAAGTACTGCTAAATTGCTTACGTGATCATAGTCATTTTAAAGATAAAACATAATTTGGGATCAAATATCCAGCATTTTTATTGTCCACTCAGTTCAGTAGCATTTGAAAATGTACATTGCCCTTTATCACTGTAGCAATCAAACAACAGATGTGGTAACTTGGAATAACTTTACCTGCATGTAGTTAAATAGAAATTAGCCACCTAATATTTCCTTACATGAATTAAAATGACTTAAATTAAGGCAACTGAATTCTACGAATCAAGACTGCTATTCTTTTGAGTTTTATGCCTCATTTTACTGTACAGTATTTCAGTATCTAGGTACTATTGTATAAAATGCAACAATTCTGTTGAAGGAAGATTAAGGTTTCAAAGTCAAGTGCTCAAAAGTTACATAATATCAGAATTAAGGTTTCTGGTGCAATCATAATTTAGTCCACTTGTGCATGTGCATTATAATACAATCTTTAATTACTCTATCACATACTCCTCTTTTTTTTTATACTGAGCTCTGTATTATTGAGTGCACAGAATGGACACTTCTCCATTAATGAGAAATTATATAATATTTCATTTTTTCCTCATTATTCAATGCCTATACTCATGCCCCATTTCTCACATAGTAATCAAATCATGCTCAGAAGACAGAATTGTTAAATTTCCCCTGCTCTTTTTTTTTACTGCTATGATATTTGACTGCTTTAGAAACATTAATTTATCTATCTTCACAAAACCTTGCTGAGATCATGTGGTGGTATTATCTCCATTTTACAAAAATATTAAGAGCAGAAGTGTGCATTAATTCTGGATGCCAAATTTCAGATGCCTAAGCCTGGTTATTTTCATTGTCCTTAGTAACATGTAACAATTTCCAGGTTCAAAGCACAGTTCCCCAGGAACTTCAGTTGCAGTTGTAACGGCTCAGGCTCTGCAAATTAGCCTCAGCAAAGCAGGCTTGAGTCAATGAAGATGGTGATGCCTCCACCTTTTTTTCCTAACTCAGAAGTAGTAAAACAGGGCTATGACCTAGCTCCACAGCTTGTTTTTATTACATTTCTTCAAGGACTTGAATAAAGGATTATACAAACATGTTAATACAGATGATAAATTCATATAATCTTTACTGCCTGCTATCAAAAACAAAACTAGTTCTGAAGAATTGGTTTAGGAATGTTTGCTGATGATTGTACCCTATTTGTCTACTCTACTTCTTTTGGAAGAAAACCTCAGAAAGCTGTCCAGTGTTTGACAGAATGTTTGGCTTAAGAAAAAAGGGCTAGAAGATAGAAAAGTGAAAAGAAGGAATATGGAGACCTGGAATAGTGGGGAAAGAACTCCTGGACCACATGGGCTAAGGCAAAAGAGAAGACGACACAGGTTCCAGGAAACAATGTTGTGCTGGTCCTCAATTAAGGAGTGAGAACTTGCAAAAACTTACACAGACCTTGAAGAAAGATAAAAAGGGGACTAAAAGAGCACATATTTGAAAAACAGGCTGAAGAAATGAGAGAATATTGTTTCAAAAGCTGTGGATTTTGAGTACATTATTGCAGAAACTAACAAAATATTGAGGCAGAGGTCCTGCAAGACAACCCAAACCATTAGGATGGTGAAGACTTAGAACCCCCTGATTCGACAACTATGAGAAAACCTTACATCCAATTAAAAACATTTGGGTTTTAATTGTGTGCAGGCCTATGGAAAGACAAAGAGCTGAGGGTGGTTGGGGCTCATACCGGGGCGGGCGAGGAGCCACAGGGCATGCTGACTCTGGGGGGCAAGTGTGGGGGTGCTGACCGACCTGTGGCAGCTCCCCAGAATAACCTATGGGACCCACAGATCCAAATAATTGCCTGCCCCATGTCTAGCCCCTCATTTTAACCACCCTGGTGTCCCAGCTAGCCTCTCTGTTGCCCTGTGTTGCCACTTGGAGCTGAACCCCCAGCCCCCTGCCAGCCCGGGCCTGTTCCACCCCAGCTCAAAGTGCTGTGGTCCTGGACACACATGAAGATGTGGCACCTGGGAGTAGCTGAATCCAGTATGAACTTTGCCAGAATTTACTGAGGTGCATTAATTTCACATGTAGATGCACCCAATGCGAATTTAACAAGGCTATCTAGGACTGGATTAGAGATGAAAACTAGGATCTCTAAATGACAGTTCAAACCAAAAATCATCAGAAATGTCTTAAAATTCCCAGGAAGTTAAATTGTTCATAGAATAACAGAAAAGCAGGGCTGGAAGGGACCATGAGAGATAACCTGATCCAACACCCAACTTAAGATATCGTCTTTCTTTAAATCATTCCAGGGGCAGGTTTGTCTACCTTACTCAAAAAAATGTCCAAGGATGGAGATTCCACCACCTCTGTAAGTAACCTAGTTCTGATGCTTAACTACTTTCATAGTTAGGAAGGACTTTCTAAGATCCAAACTAAATTTGCATTGGAGCAATTTAAATTTATTTTCCTGTCCCCAGCAGCTGCAGGACAATCCTCTTCACAGCACCATCCTTTTTATAATTTCCTCTTTATAACTATCCTCCAGCTATGTGAAGAATGTTATCAAATCCCCCCTCAGTCTTCTCTTCTCCCGATTAAATACTACCAATTATTTCAATCTTATCTCACAAGTCACATTTCCTAGATCTCTTTATCATTTCTATTGCTGTCAGCTGAACTCCTTTTATTTATGTTTATGTCTTTTGTGAAGTGTGGTGCCCAAAAGTGGACACAGTCTTCCAGGTGATTCTTCATCTGTGCTGGACAGAGTACAAGAACCATTTTCCTTGACTTGCAAAATATATTCCTTTTAATACAGCCCAGGATGCTATTGGCACTTTTTTTTATTTATTTTTTTTGCATTTGGCCCTTTTTTTTTTTTTTTTGCAATAAAGAACACTGTTGACTTATATTCCACTGATGGTCCACTACCTATAGTACTATTTTCCCCTAGGAATATATAAGTATTTAAAAATAGGATTTATGTCAATGTCAGTTTCTGATATTTCTGACCCATACCTGGTTAGATTATTTTTTGCCAAAATAGCGTGTTTACTACCATCAGCATAACATAATATATATAGAACATGTTTCTGTTTCATTTACCCTCATAAATAAAAACTAAGTTCAAATAAAAAAATTGAATTAACAACATTAAATATCCCAAATTCCACACCCAGAAATGTATATGCACACAATATTTTATAGTCAGATCCAAGACATTTTTGTAGGAACATTCACTTGGGCACTAAAATCTATAAAATTAAGTTGGCATGCCCCAGGTACCAAGAAATCAAGAATTAAGGAATGGTGTAAAGTGCCTAGATGCTGAGCAAGGATGCACCTGATAGGAAATTCTACACAGAAAAGTATGTCCTTCATTCTCCTTAGAATTGAACAGTCTGAGTTAAGCCACCTCCCAGTTCCCTCGAAGATCACAACAGAGCTTATAACTGCTTGATCTCAATTCTGAACATGTTTAGAAGCTCAACCTAAGAAAGTTTCCACACCAAAATGGAGTTGCCTCTTTGTATTTCATGAGCGTTTTTTTACTCAGATGCCTAGTTTTCATCAAAGACTTGTTAGGTCATCTAAGAACAATTTTGATTTGGCTCTTACTCTCTTGTATTTATATTAACCTAAGTAACTGCATCATCAGGTTTTCCCTTCTTCTTTCA